CCTTCTCTGACAGGGACTTCATTCTTAATGCTGCCATAAGCCCTCCTATAATAATAAATGAAATTTATAGAAAGCACCTCTGGAAAATTCACATACATACAACCTTCTGTGAACAGTTTGATCCATGCCCACCCCCGGAGCACTTCTGAAGCTCTTCCATCTACAGCCTGCACACAGCCCATCTCCCATCCCTGCCCGGCAGTCTCTCAAAATGTGGTCCAGAGACCATCCATATCAGAATCACGTAGAATGTCTGTTTTAAACCATTCTAAATTTAAATCATTCTAAAGGCTTGTGGAATAAGGAGTCATTTCAACTTTCTCCACTGGAATTAACTTTAGAATGGACTCCCCAAAGATGGAGCCCAGGAATCCCCATTTTAAATACACTCCCCAGGTGACTATTATGGCTCATTAATGTTTAGGGCCCATCTCTAAGGATACACAACCCTCATTGAGAACTTGTGTTCTAAAACACTCTTTTCTATTCATTTCTGCCTCATCCCTTGGACTCATTCTAGAAGACTTTAACATCAATATGGTAATCTACCTCACCCATGTATTAACTTCCTTGGGGATGGGGGTGTGTGGTATATTAGTGAACAACTCCTCTGTACATGACAGAAACCCACTCATGTTATTATCACATCCTAGACCCAGAACAACTCCACTTATCAACACTCCTAACACTCAGAGTGTACTCTGCCCAAACTATCCATCTCCCTCGCCCACCAAATCTGCTCCTGTGCCACAGTCAGACCCAATCCCATGACTTCTGCTTCCTCCATTCTAGCAAAGCCCATCTCCAGCTTCAGTTCCAGAGGTGCCCAGCACAGATGACAGTCTGTCTCATGCCCTCTGCGATTGATTCCCCACAGACTTCAGAAATACCAACCCTGTACCTTCCATCTCAGAGATGGCCACTGCAGGACTTGGGATGCCAGAGCTACTCTAGCAGGCTGTTACCCTTAGACTCCTTTTCCCTCTCCAGTTCAGGTTGGCCTAGTGATAACAACCATTATTATAACCAATATTTACAACGCACTAAATGAATTAGGTAACAATTAATTCATTTAATCCACATAGCAACTCTATGATAGGGGAACATCATCATCCCCATCATAAACCAGTGGCACTGAGGCCAAGAGAGAGAAAATAATTTGCCTAAGGTCCCATAGGTAGCATGGACCGAGCTGAGATTCGAAGCCCTCCAGCCCTTTGCCACAGCCTGAGCTCAGGTTCCTTCCCTTCTGCTCTAGCAATGGAGAAGAGCAAGAAAAGAAAAGAGCAGCCCAGTCATTTACCACTTGAAGAAAGCTAGCTCACAGCTCCTATTTTGCTGGAAAACTTTGCCCTGTGCTCCACTCCCTCATTTTATATTTGAGATTCAGGTTTTACCCTCTCCTGAGCTTTTTATAACTCACCTTCAAAATATGGCAACAGATAATGGTTTTAAAAAATGTTTTGGAAAGCTTATTTATCAGTTTTATGTGTTGAAACTGTCTTTTATCAGCCACAACTTGTAAACAGTAGCATGTAAAGTAGTATGGAAAACTTCAAGACTGAAAATGAATATTATGGAAAATTTTTCAAACTCACCTCTTATTTTTCTTGTAATTCTCCAGTTGCTGGGACTGCATATGTTTGCATCTTTCGAATTCACACTGCCCACATAAGTCTTCCAGATGCAGCAGGTTGTTCTCTACCTCCTCAAAACTAGCCTCTAAATGAGCTGGAAGTATATAAAAATAAACAAAATTCAAAATCAGAATCCTGATCATTATGAATACAAAAAGTATCAAAAAGGTAAAAGTTTACATTGTTAGATTGTTTTGCATTTATTTAATTTTATTAAACTTTCTTGAAGCAAAATAAAATACACTGGCCAACATTAAAACATAATTCAAATTACTTTTTGATCATATTTCAAGCATTTTCAAGACGTAACTTTCCTAAATACTTATTAAGCAGGAAGAAAGAGAAATGGAGGAACATCTTGATTAATGCAGTGTCCTAATAACCCATACATCACATGTGAATAACTAATTTTCGCATAAGAATACGGCAAAATATAATTAACACAAATTATACCTAACTTTATATCTGTGCCTCTAAATTACGTTAGTATTTGTTTTGCCTCTGGCACATCACATACACAAATCTTCAAGGCACAATGGATATGTATAAATACTTGGTAAACATGGGTTACTAGGCTACTCAGTGGTTGGATGAAGAAAGTACTTAGCTCTAGCTGTCAGGTGACTAGTCTTTCACTACTCCACTCTGCTGCTAGGCCACAGAGCTTTGCAGCTATTTTGGAACGTAAGGATCATCCACTCAAACCTTTCACTGAAAAGATTCAAGACTAAAGCCTGGAAAAACAAATTCAGTGCCTCGCCCAAGCAAGCTAGTGAAGGGCCACACAGCCAGTGAAGGGCAGTCAGGAATCCAAACTGAATCCCTCTCACGTTACAAAATTTCCAATTGATGGGATGCTATGTAAACTGAGATTATCGGGGCAAGGATTTGTTGTTTTCTCATATGAATGAAAAGCTTTTGAGGTCAAAGATTTGAGAACTCAAACAGCCTCATAACTAGTTATCTATTATTCACTGACATACGCCAGTCACTGGAATACAAAGATGAAAAAGACAGTCCTGGAGCTCAAGGAGCTTACAGGAGAGGGGAGGCATATTTCAATGGCAACAGAGCATGACAGAGCGAGGCGTGAGGTGCTGTACGAACTCAAAGAAGTGGTATCTAACACAGATGAGGGAAAAGCTCAGCAAGAAATGACTCCCAAGTCAGGAAATAACAGTGATCCAGTGGGGAAGGGAACAGTGAGGAGGAACAAGCTGGCTGTGCAGCCTTCCAGTCTTGGGTTCATTTAGACAGCTGCAATATCATTCCTTCATTTACGTATTAGCTTTTCATATGACTTTCTAAACTAGCTTTCACAGCATTTAGGTTGGAAGGAAACTCCTCAAATTTCATCTAGGTATATTGAGATGGAAATTTTTGCCTGTTTTTGGAAATCCTAGCAAGAGCAATTAGGCAAAACAAAGAAAGACAGACATCCAAATTGGAAAGGAGGAAGTCAAATTGCCCCTGTTTGCAGATGACATGATCTTATGTATAAAAAAACTCTAAAAGCACCACCAAAAAAAACTTTTAGAACTTAATAAATTCAGTAAAGTTGCAGGATACAAAATCAATATACAAAAGTTAGTAGCATTTCTATACACCACCGATAAACTTTTCAGCGGGGGAAGAAATCAAGAAAACAATCCCATTTACAATAGTTAAAAAAATTACAATACTTAATAAATTTAACCAAGGGGATGAAAAAGCCAGTGTGGTGGCTCACACCTGTAATCTCAGCACTTTGGGAGGCTGAGGCATGAGGATCGCTTGAGCCCAGGAGCTGGAGAGCAAGGGGATGAATGATCTCTACAAGACAAACCATAAAACACTAATGAAAGAAGTTGAAGACGACGCAAAAATAAAATGACATCCCCATGTTCATGAATTAGAAGAATTAATATTGTGAAAATGATCATACTGCCAAAAGTGATCTACAGATTAAACGCCATCCCTATCAAAACACCAATGACATTCCTCACAGAAACGGAAAAAAAAAAAAATTCCAAAACTCATATGGACTCACACAAGACCTTGAATGGCCAGAGCAATCCTGAGCAAAAATAACAAAGCTGGAAGCATCAGATCATCTGACTTCAAAATATACTACAAAAAGCTACAGTAACCAAAACAGCATGATGCTGGCATGAAAACAGACCCACTGGAACAGAACAGAGAACCCAGAAAATCCAGAAATAAATCCACATATTTACAGCCAATCAGTTTTTGACAAAGGCATCAAGAGCATTTGTTGGGAAATGCATGCTCTCATCCATAAGTGATGCTTGGATAAGTAAATGTCCATATGGAGAAGAATGAAACTGGACCCTTTTCTTTCACCCTATAAAAAAATCAACTCCTAATGGATTAAAGACTTAAATGTAAGAGCTGAAACCATGAAACTGCTAAAAGAAAACACAGGGGAAACATTTCAGAACATTAGTTTGGACAAAGATTTTATCGAGAAGACGTCAAAGGTACAAGCAACAAAAGCAAAAACAGACAAACTGGATTATATCAAACTAAAAAGGTTTTGCCTAGAAAAAAAAAATCAAGACTGAAACGACAACCAGCAAAATGAGAGAAAATACCTGCAAATTACTCATCCCACAAGGGATTAATATCCTTTCCTTTGGATATATCCCTAGTAGTGGGACTGCTGGCCGTATGGTGTTCTATTTTTGTTTTGTTTCGGAGGAACTTCCATACTGTTTTCCATACTAGCCCTACTAATTTAAATTCCCAAGAAATTCTTATACAAGGAACCCAAACAATTGAACAGCAAAAAATAAAAATTAAAAAAAAAAATCCTATTAAAAAATGGGGAAATGAACTGAATAGCTATCCCTCAAAAGAAGGTACACAAATGGCCAACAGGTAAATGGAAAAATGTTCAACATCACTAATTATAAGGGAAATTCAAATCAAAACCACAATGAGATATCATCTCACCCTAGTTAGAAAAGCTATTGCCAGATGGTAATAATAGGCACTAGGGATTCCAAAAGTGGGGAGGGGTGGAAAGGGACAAAGACTGAAAAATTACCCATTGGGTACAATGTTCACTATTTGGGCACTGGGTATACTACAAGCCCAATCTCCTCCAATATGCAATACAGCCATGCAACAAACAAGCACATGTACCCCCCTAAAACTAAAAAAGAAAAGAATATCTATTACTGAAAAGACCAAAAAAAAAAAAACAAACGCTGGCAAGGATGCAGAGAAAGGGGAGTTCTCACACACTGTGGGAATTTAAATTAGTATAGCCACTATGGAAAACAGTATGGAAGTTCCTTAAAAAAAAAAAAAAAAAAAAAAAAAGTAGAGAAGAGACAACGGCACAAGCATTGGATCGCCATGCCTTTCTTGGACGTGCAGAAAAGGTTCGGCATTAACCTAGATCGGTGGTGGACAGTCCCAAATGCCGAACAGCCCTACAAGTTTCCTGCTCAATGCCATGCTTTTGAAAAAGAATGGATAGAATGCGCACATGGAATTGGTACTCTCCGGGCGGAGAAGGAGTGCAAGATAGAATATGATGATTTCATAGAGTGTATACTTTGGACAAAAACGATGAAACGCACGGATACCATCTGGAGGCAATGGGAAAAACTGATGAAGGAAGGGAAGTACACCCCTCCACCTCACCACATGGGCAAGGGGGAGCCTCGGTCCTGAGCAGACACAGCTCCTGATATCTGGAGGCCAATTTTCATTTTCTCTGTTCTCCACTGGAAAGGTTGTTTATGGAAAATCTCCTTGTCAAATGTGTAAAAATAAAGTATTGCTCCATCCTAAAAACAAAACAAAAACAACAAAAAACGTAGAATGACCATGTGACCAGCAGTCCCACTACTATTGGAGACACAGCCAAGGGAAAGGAAATCAGTGTACTGAAGTGTTATCTGTACTCTCATGTTCACTGCAGCTATATACACAATAGCTAAGATAAGAATTCAACCTAAGTGTCCATCAATGGATGAATAAAGAAAATATGTTACATATAAACAATATAATACTATTCAGCCATACAAAAGATTTAAGTTCTGTCATTCACAGGATGTTATGTTAAGTGAAATAAGCCTGGCACAGAAAGATAAATGCTGCATGTTGGGACTCCTTCTCTGGATCCCCTCCCATGGCAGCATGGGGACTGTCTCTCCTCTTTCTTTCTCTCTCTCTCTGCCTAATAAATTGCTCTCTGTAAACCTCAAAAAAAAGAATGGTGAATGTTTTCACCCACATGTGGAAGGTAAAAATGTTGATCCCAGGGAAGTAGAGGGTAGAATAATGCTTACTAGAGGATGCTGGGGAGGTGAGCAGTAGCCAAAGGTTGGCTAACAGATACAAATTTACAATGAGATAGGAAGAATAAGTTCTAGCATTCTATAGCACTGCAGGGAGAGTATAACAATTTATTGTATTTGTTCAAATGGCAAAAGAATGGATTTTGAATGTTCCCAATACACAAAAAAATGGTGTTTGGGGAGATGGATATGCTCACTACCTTGATTTGATTATTACAAATTATGTCCATGTATCAAAAATCATACTGTGCCCTATAAATATACACAATTATGTGTCAAAAATAATAAAAGCAAAAAATAAACATGTAAATACTTAAAATTATTTTAAAAGAAAAGGCAGAAACTAGGAGAAAACCCTTGTAGAACATACCTAATAAAGGACTGATATCCAAAATATACAAAGTACTCAATCTGCAACTGAGGGACAGTCTACAAAATATCTGATCACCATGTCTCAAAAAGCTGTCATGGTCATCAAAAACAAAAAACGTGTGAAAAACTGTCAGGGCCAAGAGGAGCCTAAGAAGACAAGATGACTAAATTTAATGTGGTCTCCTGAAAAGGATCTTGGAACTGAAAAGAATATTAAGTAAAAAAGAAATATTAATAAAGGATGAATTTTTAGAAATAATGAAAAGATTTTATTTTTAATTAATCTTTGTTTGATCCAAACAGCTATTAAATAATCCAGAAGTACTGACATTTTCTTTTTTTTTTTTTTTTGAGACGGAGTTTCGCTCTTGTTACCCAGGCTGGAGTGCAATGGTGCGATCTCGGCTCACAGCAACCTCTGCCTCCTGGGTTCAGGCAATTCTCCTGCCTCAGCCTCCTGAGTAGCTGGGATTACAGGCATGTGCCACCATGCTCAGCTAATTTTTTGTATTTTTATTAGAGACGGGGTTTCACCATGATGACCAGGATGGTCTTGATCTCTCAACCTCGTGATCCACCCACCTCGGCCTCCCAAAGTGCTGGGATTACAGGCTTGAGCCACCGCGCCCGGCCGACATTTTCTTTTTTATTCTCTTCTCAAGCATTTATCCTTTGAATTACAAATAATCCAATTACATTCAAGTTATTTAAAAATATCTGATGAAGTTATTATTGACCATAGTCACCCTACTGTGCTATCAAATAGCAGGTCTTATTCCTTTTTTTTTTTTTTTGACACTTTCTAATATCCTAAATTTTAACTCTACAAAATAGTTGTGCTTATAAAAACTCCCTCTTCTCTCTGGTAGGGTATAAGACTTAAAAATATGAATTTGGGGGCAGGGAAATACAATTTATTCAAAAGGGAAAATATGACAAGTAGTTTATCAGTTTTCTTCAAATATTTTAGGTACTGACTTATCACTGATATATCACTGTAAAACACTGGTAAATCTGGAAAAGGCTAATAATAACGTAGTTCATAGAAGTTTTGAATTTAGTTTCAGGGGCCACACAAAACAGCTGCTATAGGTGATTATGGAATGCCTAAATGCAACAATTCGTAAAATCTAAATTTTAGCCAACAAATAATTATATTTACAATTTTAAAGAATGTCATAAATGGAACATAAGGGGTTTGATTAGGGCAATCGGGCAAAATGATGTACGGCCACACACACACACACACACACACACATTTTTGTGGTACAGATGAGGCCTTGCTATGACCCAACTGGTCTTGAACTCCTGAGCCTGAGTGATCCTCCTGCCTTGGCCTCCTAAAGTGCTGGACTTAGAGCTGTGAGCCACCACACCCAGCCTACACTGCTTTTTTGTTTTATTAAATGAAAAATTGACTAGAATATTCAGCTTGGGAGCTAGTACTCCTAGAACTAAAGAAGCAACACTCAGCTCATTCTGTTATAACTAGTCTAACAGGGTCTTAAAATGTACAAAAGATTATCATAGCTGATACGATTATTTAAAAGGCTGGTTCATTTAGATTAGTGATAAAAACTAAAATAGTTAAATTTAATATAGAATCCATTTAACTCTAAGCTACTTGGTGCATTCAGTATCATGCATGTATCCTTAGCATATGGGGGAGGAACTGGTTAAGAGCTAGGCTTTGAAGCACAAGCTTAAAAACTCAGCTCTCCTCCTGCCAGATGAGATGCAATGTGATACCTCCTCTGTGAAGAGAGAGCTAACAACACGCATCTTGCAAAGCTGTTAAAAGGATTAAATGAGCCAAAGTACCTAAACTTAATACTTGAGTTAGTAAATAATTAATGTTTGAATATAAAAAATATAGAGAAAATTTTTATAGATTAGCTAATTTTTATATTTAATAAAAGTCATTAAAACTGATTAATTTCATTGACCAGTAATGATCATGATGTAAATAAGTTCTATGGATGTATTAGATCAAAATGTCAACAACATCTTAATTTTTACCTTACAAACTTACATACCTGTAAATTATTTTCCAGGCTATATTCTTAAGATCTCCTATAGGTAAAAGGAATTATGTTTCAAATGATTTTTCTGAACAGAAACCATGTAATGGAGCCGACAATTAGTCTATGCTGGAAAATGTTTATGTTCTTTTTACCTTTTTAATCTTTATTTGGACAGATGGCAATTTCCATTTAGATTCTAGCTCTGTTGGTTGACTACAGAGCTAATGAGGCCAGGAACTTAAATGAGGTTGATCTCTAGGCAGGCCAATTAATTTCTCATGGATAGAAATTCTGTCCTATGTACAAACTGTACTTGCTGCCCTAGCCACTCTTTTGTTAATAACGTGGGGACCAGATGAAAACGTGAGTGGTTTAGCAACCTGGAATTCCTAATGAGAAGCAAACTGTACATGCTTCTGAATAGGATGGCATCATGCTCTTGTGCTGAATGACAAATTCAGACTAAAACTGCTTAGAACAGTCAGTGTCATTTTACTGCTAACACCAAATTCATATTTATGTTCTCCCCTTTAAAAAGCTTTACAGGCTCCTGAGCCCCTTTAAGTTAAACCCCTTATCATTCAGAGACCTACTGCTCTCTGGCCACAAACTGCGTTTACTTCACTTCTTTCCTTCACATATTCTGCATTACTGCAAAACAAGATGAGTCCTGCTGCCTCCTCCTCCTCATCTCTGCCTGTCCCTAACCCCAGTTTGTCTTTTCAGGCACAGGCCAGTGGCAGCCTGCCCTCATCCCACGGGCTCCCTTCCTCTTCTCTGCTACCACAGACCTTTGAGCCTCACACAGGACTCACATTCTGACTGATAACATACAACTAGTTGTATACTCTTACCTCTCTCTGCAATCAGTAAGAGTCTTAAAAGGTGCAGATTGTATTTTTGCTTCTTTGCTATCCCCTAATAACATGTCCACTGAATTCAATAAGGAATAATTTCTGGTGACAGAATGATTCTACTACTCTAACATGTAAAATAACCAAGAAGGCAAATCTATTCATGGTCATGTAGTTTAAATATTAAGACATTATGCCAAATTTTGTAAAAGAATAAATTAAACATGAGCAGAGAACTTAGGAAACATTAAACAACATGATACTTTACTAGCAGTATATTTAACCAGGTCACATTATCAGTGACAAAAAAGAAGTGATAAAAATTTTCCATTTTAACACTTTTTGAAATCAGTAATAAAATACAAAAGAATTGTATTGAAAAAAAAATAAGTGTTCTCCCCCCTTATATTAAAAACTTTAAAAAGCTCTTCATATAAGTACATATACAATGTGTATTCTGGATATTTTATGTCGAATTTAAGTTGGCAGAAATTTAATTTCCCTGTCACAGCCTGCACATTTCCTGTTGCAAAACAAGTTGCGTATACGAGTACATTTGCTAACCAACTTAGGATGCATATACATAAAACACTAGCAGGCCTCCATGGACACAAATGTACCTTTACAAGAAGCTCAAGCCCCACCATTTTGCTCACTATAACAACAGCATATGTCTCATTTAGTGATCAGTGGAAAAGATAGGTGGAATTTTATTGTGAAAAGCCATCTGGGAATGCTTGACAGCTGGGCAGGAAAGAGCTTCACAAATCTTTGTGAGAAGGCTGTCCCAGAGGAAGAGCAATTCTGTTTGGAATTTTTCTTTGTGTCATTTGTTTCAAATACATATTATCTGTAGTGTAACCACTGATATATGAAGAATGAAGCAGCACACTAAAATTAATTATTTCTCACTTATAGAGTTATTTTCTAACAAAATAGCCTCATGGAACAAAGAAATCTCCTTTGGCTGTAAACCCATAAGTCATAGAGGCCAGGTACTGAAAGACCAGAAGACTTTAAATGCTTATGTTATACTTTTACGTACTAAGGCAATAAGGTAATGATGGTTTGAATAAGGAAACTTTAAGAGGTGCATTAACTTCCAAAAGCCATTATGGAAC